CTGAGGCGGGACCTCGTGCGCAAACTCTGACGTGCGGCTGTGATTTATAAATGAAAGGTGCGCAGAAACATGTGTACGCACAGTTTTATAAATCTGAATAATTTTTTGGCGTATGCCATTTCCACCTTTTGGCCGTATGTTCACTTTTAGTATGGTTTCCACGCAATCCTTTATAAATGAGACCCCTGGACTGTACAGTCAAGAGAGAAGAAACTAGCTTCCTGTTTTATTTGAAGAGGAACACAACTTACTTCCAATTTTTACAACTTCCAGTTTATAAACTCTCTTCAGTTAAATGACAATGAATGTAATATTACACCATCTCTCTGCTGTAGTGTGCTGCCTCATCCATTTTTAACTCTGCCATGTCAGTGAGGAAGTACTCTCATTCTTTTATGCACTTTGCTTGCCTTCCTGTACTGTTAACTGTAGAGTACTGCTGTCCATGTCCACACGTCTGTCTGAGAAGCTTGTCTCAGTGTCTGGCTGCGTCTGTCAGTTATGTAATCTCACAGCCTGTAGGACTTTAATCTGGTTTAACTGAGGTGGATTATCTTGCTTTAACCCGGCTGCCCAACACCACGATCTGAAACACAAACCAACACGAACTCTGTGCGTTCAAATTTCAGGGGTTAAAAYGAAATTTATTCAATTTCAGATTGCAAGAAGTGCAAGGGGAAATGAATCAAAACTTAAATACAAAGATCTATTTATTTATCAATTTTTTTTGTTTCAGAACAACAACAAAAAGATACAAGTCCATAGTCTGTTCTTGCCAAAGGCTAATTGCAAAGCTAGTTCCAGTTAGATGTTTTTTTAAGATGAAAATTAAAATCTCTAAAATGTCCCCCTGATAACAACACCAATAAAATTGTGACATGATTTATGATGTAAAATACACCATATTTTTATTAATACTGCTAGGTGTTGCAGAGTCTTTGTAGCCACGTCTATGATAGCATCATACAATTTTTAGGTAAATTATTAATGTACAAGTAAGAAATTTAAAGGAAAGAAAAATGTCCTAAAATGGGACCATGTGGAACGCCCATTTTGCAACTTTGAAAGGTTGATTTTGAAGACACTAGTTAAATATGACGTGAACTAAATTTAAATCTGCAACAGTGCAGACAGAATCCAAACAAATAATATGCAATCAAATTTGGTCAAATAATCACGTTTTGTAAATTAATGAAACAACTTTGAAGAGAAGCAAATTACCTTTTGTCTTGTAGGCCAAAGTTTTAATTCAAGAACATACATAGTCTGTTAACGGTATGATGAATATGATGGATGGATTCAGTGTTCCCTTTCCCAGACGCGGGTCACCAGGGCCCCACTCTGGAGCCAGGCCTGGAGGTGAGGCACGTTGGTGAGCGCCTGGTGGCCGGGTTTTCGCTCATGGAGCCCGATCGGGCACAGCCCGAAGAGGAGAAGTGGGTCCCCCCCTTCCATGGGCTCACCACCTGTGGGAGGGGCCATAGGGTTCAGGTGCAATGTGTGTTGGGCAGTGGTCAAAAGCGAGGACCTTGGTGATCTGATCCTCGGCTACAGAAGCTGGCTCTAGGGACGTGGAATGTCACCTCTCTGGTGGGGAAGGAGCCTGAGCTGGTGTGTGAAGTTGAGAGGTTCCGACTAGATATAGTTGGACTCACCTCACCGCTCAGGCACCAGTCTCCTCGAGAGGGGTTGGACACTCTTCCACTCTGGAGTTGCCCACGCTGAGTCGCAGAGCCGGAGTGGGCATACTTATTGCCACCCATCTCGGTGCCTGTACGTTGGGGTTCACACCGGTGAACAAGAGGGTAGCCTCCCTCCGCCTACAGGTGGGGGGACAGGTCCTGACTGTTGTTTGTGTCTACGCGCCTAATAGCGTTCCTCCAAGGACTCCTTTTGGAGTCTCGACTTACCAATCAGTCTATGTTCCTAACCTCATCTACGGTCACGAGCTTTGGGTAGTGACCGAAAGAACGAGGTCGCGGATACAAGCGGCCGAAATGAGTTTCCTTCGCAGGGTGTCTGGGCTCTCCTTTAGAAATAGGGTGAGAAGCTCAGTCATCCGGTAAGGAGGCACTCAGAGTAGAGCCGCTACTCCTCCACATCAAGAGGAGCCAGTTGAGGTGGCTCGGGCATCTGGTTAGGATGCCTCCTGGACGCCTCCCTGGTGAGGTGTTCCAGGCATGTCCCACTGGGAGGAGGCCCAGAGGAAGACCCAGGACACGCTGGAGGGACTATGTCTCTCAGCTGGCCTGGGAACGCCTTGGAATTCCCCCGGATGAGCTGGCCCAAGTGGCTGGGGAGAGGGAAGTCTGGGTCTTTCTGCTTAGGCTGCTGCCCCCACGACCCGACCCCGGATAAGCAGCAGAAAACGGATGGACAGACATAGTCTGTTAACTGAGACAATGCTCAGCTATCATACATGTCAAGTTGTATGGATTTTCTGTAAGTTATAAGRATTTTACGTCATTTTGCAGGTATATGGATGTACAGAGCAAACTTATGGATTTTTGAGGCTCTAATGTCCAAAGGGGTTGATGAGCTATTAACACAAGTATCTGCTTCTTATCTGAAAGAAATGCACTAAAATTGACTAATATAYTGTATATAGCTGTTTGCCAATACTGTTTAGCCATGAATTGAGTTGACTCCAAAAGTTAATCAATTGTAGATGTTCATCCAGTGATTGAACATTATTAAAGAACAGCAGGTCAGTTTCATGTGGTGAACCTGTGAAAGTTTTACATTTTAACAAGACGATGCATAAAGCTACTGTACCTGCAGTGAGGCGTCCTCTTTCTTCATGAGGCAGCATTATAAAACACGTTAGGAGACAAGAGGTGAGAAAAAAAACCTGATATTCAGCTAAATTTGCTGCCAATATTAGTTGTTACAGCAGGAAACCTATTGACAGTTCAATGCTTAAAGGCTAGAGGGGACCGAGCAGCACCTCAAGCAGCTAAAACACACACACAGCTCAAAGCACTTAACTCACACCCAGCATGCAGTGGTACATCTCAAGGGGATCTTTTCTACAATAAGAAGCTTTTTCTGCTAACAGCAGGAGGACAATGAGACTTTTAAACCCCTGCAGCTCAAATGGAGGCTTTTCACGTCTGAGTCGAGTATTTGAGATGTAAAACTTAAAAAAGTCAAAATCAAGATGGAGTGGCGTGGTCTGAGGTTCGAGCATTTTAGCTTGTTATTTTTCTAAAATTTGAGAAATATAAAGCACGCATACAAAAGGTTGATCCCAATGTTTAGAAGATCAGAAACACATTTTAGCAAAAACTAAGCCCTACTCTTAAAATAATGTTTGCAGCATTTTTTCCCTCCAAGCTGCCAACACAGCAGGGTTTTAAGCAGACACAAGCCTCTTCTTGATGAAGACAAGTTCTCTACAAAAGAAGAAAAAACAAATTCCTCAAAATCTTTTAGAATTCTAAGAGTTGGCTGACCCAGAATCTGACAGCTGGATGCAACACAAAACATTTAATTTTGTTAATTCATGTAAACACCAGATTTACTTTTGAACAGGTATTTTTGGTGGATTTAGAAAGAAATGTAAAATTAAAATGTGTAATCTAGTAATTATCTGTGCTATTCATTATATATTAGTAAATTTTGGAGAAGGAGGGATTAACTAAGTTTGTACTTCTTCCCACTCCGTTTCAAATACGTTTCATTTTTTTAAATCTTGGTACATTATTTTAGTTTATTTATACATGTTTGAAATAAATTTGAACTATTTTTGAACAGAATTATTTGTCCTGCTTCTATTGATCAATGTTGTACAATGCCGAATGTTCAAAATCTTCCATTAAAAATCCAAATTACCCTAAAATTATGATAATTTTCTAAAAATTTTCATTATGTTTTTAAAGAATATGACCCTCCACACATATTCTGTTGTTTGGGAAAGGAAACAATGTCTTAAAATATGTTCCAATTTCTGTCTCATGGGATATTTAATGATGCGTTTGTATGATAATATTTCATTATTCACATTTATAATACAGCAAGTTCTACCTTAGGAAAACATCTAACTTTGGTTGAAAACATCACAACCTATGGGCTTCTCAAAATGTGGACATTTTCATTATATTAGCATTTTTCTATCATTTTATTTGTTTATTGCTAGGGATGCACGATTTATCGGCATCAATATTGGTATCGGCCGATATTGGTCATTTTTTAGAATATCGTTTCGGTCTGATATGTAAAACTGGGCCGGTATTAACGTCTGATATTGATTTCTCACTTTTTAGCTTTGTGTTTCTGTTTTGGGAGGGGAGACAGTTGGTTGAGTGGCATCTGTTTGATCATGTGATAGTGATATTGACACTGCGTAACTAGGAATAACTGAAGTAGAGCCATGTCAGAGGTCTGGTTGTTTATTTACGGTATCAAAAAAAAGACCCAARTGTGTTTGTACGTATATGTATAATATAATTAGAGTGTTTGTGTAATTTCGGTAAATATCAGTTATCGACCATAACAGCAATAAATATATCAGATATCGATACCGGCTGAAATTTACATATCGGTGCGTCCCTATTTATAGCCAATCATCTCTGATGAAAGCACTACATATTCTATCAAATCCACATACAATACTGCAAAACTATTTTTTTTTACTATTTATTGATTTGATTTAAAAGTATAGACAAGTTTAATCTGCTCAAAACATAACAATATTATTACCAACTAAAGATAAATGAGGTCTTGGTAGTCCTAATGGGACCCACACGTTGAGATGTTCAACCAAAGTCTATGTTCTAATCTACGTCCTGTTTCACCTGAGCCGTCCGGCTGCATGTCCCAAGCGGAGGACATAACCCAGTTGTCAGAGTGGACCCACTGGTCCTCCCCTCGAGATGAGGTTCTACCCCCACCTGTCCGGGTTTCCCCATTTAAGACCAACGGAGCCAAGTCCTCCTCATGTGAGCTCCGTCCAACCGATTCCTCACCAGAGGAGTAAAACCTTTTCAAACCTGAGCAAAGTCACAGTTTAATGTACAGTATTTCGGTTCAGTGAAGTATTTTAGGTTCAGTGAAGACATATATATATA